CACCCAATGGGAGAAGGACCGTAATACACTTTACATCTAGAGTCCTCACATCAGGGTGTTTTGAGCTGACTATATTAACATCTTTTTAGAGTCTCTGAGTCTGAGAAGGAGGGGGGTTGAAGCAGTCAATGCTGGTTTGGGCACAGAGGCCCCAAATCTGTCTCCTGGTCCTCCAGTTCTCTGTGTGTTTTGGGGAGACATGGACTTGAATCCAAAGTAAACTATTCCAAAGGTCCCCCCAGGCACATACCAAAGAATAGAGCCCCCTCAGATGCCAGGGCCATAGTCAGTAGGTAAGCCTGCAGTCCCCTTCAAAAGCCCCTGTCTCATTTGGGTCTGTCACAGTGAAGCATGGTGGTGGCAGCATCATACTGTGGGGGTGGGACTGGGAGACTGGTCAGGGTTGAGAGAAAGCTGAATGGAGCAAAGTACAGAGATATCCTCAATGAAAACCCGTTCTAGAGCACTCAGGACCCCAGACTGGGCCGAAGGTTTATCTTCCAACAAGACAACCATCCTAAGCACACAGCCAAGACAACACAGGAATTGCTGAGGGACAACTCTGTGAATGTCCTGGAGTGGTCCAGCCAGAGCCCTAACTTCAACCCTATTGAACATCTCTGGTGAGACCTGAAAATGGCCGCCCACCGACAGCCCCCATCTAACCTGACTGAGCAAAGAAGAATGGCAGAAAATCCCCAAATCCAGGGGTGCAAAGCTTGTGGTGTCATCCCCAAAAAGTCTCCAGGCTGGAATTGTGCCAAAAGGGCTTCAACAAAGTACTGAGTAACGGGTCTGAATACTTAAGTACATGTGAGATTTTAGTTTTTTTTTTACTTTTAATACATTTACAGACCTTTCTAAAATTCTGTTTTCACTTTGTCATTCTGGGGTGCTGAGTGTAGGTTAATGAGGAGAAAACTGAATTTAAACATCTGTAGTATCAGGAGCAACATAACCGTGAAGGGGGTCTGAATACTTTAGAAATGCACTGTAACCCCTCCCACTGATGGGTATCCTCTGATTTGTGTCCTCAGGTGATGGATGCCTCTTTCTCCTCTACTGATATATTTTCAGCTCCAGTTTGGATATATCAGCCTTTCTGGCTACTCATGTAGCTTCTGGATCGGGGTCCTAGGCACGCTACTTTACTGGATCCCACCAAAATGGTGGAAGATGCGGAGCCAACCTGTAAAAATGCTTTGTGCATTGGATCCTGCATTAAGAGCTCCTCCCTGGCACGTTGTACAGCACATGGAGTTATCTGCAGGTCTGTCTTTCTCTGACACCTTGGTTTGAGATTTTCTGGATGTCTGGGTCGGGGGTGTCCACACCCAGGTGGTACAGGCTGGAGTTTCACTCTCTGTCTTTCTGCCGATTCATACCTTCAAATCTCCCTTCTCTGCAGGGTTTTTACTGCAACCTGTTCAGAGTTGGCAGCATTCATCCTTTCCCTGGACCTGAAGTGCCTGAAAGTCTTCCTTTTGGATCCACAAGTTTTGTACGGAATCATCCAGGTCAGTCATTGCATCTCTGCAGCATGGACTCTGCTTGCATAGGTGGACATCAAAGACCTACCTGCACATTCCTGTGTTTATGTTTTGCGATTGGAGATGATTGTTTTCAGTTTGTGACCCTGTCAGGGCTTATCCCTACTCCTTGGGCCTTCACAAACGTCTTGACCCCTGTTCTGGCTCTTCTTTGCTCTCAGGGTGTCCACATTGTGGGCTACCTGGGTGACCTGTTATAGAAGAAAGTCTTCCACCCAGGCTTTGAATGCCCACAGGCAAATGACTGAATTTCAGGTTGATCCCCGACCCTCAGAAGTCTGCACTGGATCCAACTTGCTGTCTGGAGTACTTGTGACTGATCCTAGCCATGTCCCAGGCCAGGTATTTCTTCCTTCAGAAAAAGGTCAGGACCTGATGCTCTGAAGATCATGTACCACTATCCAGATGTTGTCCCTCAGTGTGCTTTCATGAGGGTGCTGAGGGGTAGTAGCTTATGTCCAATTCCACCCCAGGCTGCTGCAACTCAGCACCCTGTCCATGTGGAACAAGTAGACTCTGGACAATCCCATGCATCTGTCACAGCCTAAAAGAAAGTGGAAAGAATTCTGACCTGGGCAGAGTGCTATGTTCTGGCCCTGACCACAGTACACATTTCAGGCATAGAAAATTGGAAGGCCAACTTCCTCAGCCATCAGCTTCTGGATCAAGCTTAGTGGTTCCTTCACCTCAACCAACTCCAGGAGTCCAATGTTAAGGAATGGCCTCGTTTGCCATTCTGGCCACGCCCTCTGTGACCACGCCCCCAGTAGGTGGGGTGAAAAGTCAGTGGGCGTGGCCAGAATGGCAGCTGAGGTAATTCCTTAACATAGGACTCCTGGGGTCGGTTGAGCAGCGTCCATCCCTTCACTTGTATTGGCTGACACTGGAGTCGCTCTGACTCATGCTCTTCTCACTTGCCGGAGGGGTGATTTTTTTCCTTCTATCCACAGCTTGGAGAGGTGCCATAAGGTATACTTTTTACTATGGTCCCTTCACCTGAAGGTGTTTCGGTGGGGGATGCCAGATGTGGACCTGGTTCAACAACAAACTGAACAGGTTCAGAGATCCTCAAGCTTATGCAGTGGACGTTCTACTGAGCCCGTGGGATTTGCTTCACACAATCTATGCTTTTCCTCCACTGAATATCCTTCCATCACTGCTCTGCAGGATCCAAGTCAGAGGTCATGCCAGGGAATCTTGTGGCACCTAACTGGCTCAGAAGGGTTTGGTACTCAGACATACTCCTGACTTCTGGCAGACTTCCCTTGGCCTCTTCCAGATGGCAGACTTCCCTTGGCCTCTTCCAGATGGCAGACTTCCCTTGGCCTCTTCCAGATGGCAGACTTCCCTTGGCCTCTTCCAGATGGCAGACTTCCCTTGGCCTCTTCCAGATGGCAGACTTCCCTTGGCCTCTTCCAGATGGCAGACTTCCCTTGGCCTCTTCCAGATGGCAGACTTCCCTTGGCCTCTTCCAGATGGCAGACTTCCCTTGGCCTCTTCCAGATGGCAGACTTCCCTTGGCCTCTTCCAGATGGCAGACTTCCCTTGGCCTCTTCCAGATGGCAGACTTCCCTTGGCCTCTTCCAGATTGCACACACCTTCTGCCTCAAGGCCCGATCTACCATCCTGTTTCTCCATCATTGGCTTTGACGGCCTGGCCTTTGAAGTTCAGGCACTGAGAGACAGAGGCTTATCGGATTTGGGTATCCCAATACCTTTCAGGTTAGGAAATCGACTTCTTGCAAATTATACCATGGCACCTGGAAGGCTTGCTTTGCATGGTGCGAGGAGAGAAAGCTTTGTCCTAGATGATATTCTGTGGAATGTATTGTGGCTTTTCTCCAATCGGGTCTGGAGCAGCATTGCACCTTGAGTGCCCTCAAGGGACAAATTTTGTCCTTGGCTATTCTCTTCCAGTGTCCTTTTAGCTTCACTCCTTTGTGAAGGCCTTTGCAGGGAGTTGTTCATTGAGCCCTTAAACATGGTGATGCTCCTGGACCTCTGTCTGGTTTTGGCCTCCCTTTGAACCTAGCCGGATATTCCCTTAGCAAAGCTCATTTGGAAGTTGTTTTTTCTTGTTGCCATCACTTCTGTTGGGCGAGTATCGGAATTAGTGGCATTGTCTTGTAAGGAACCTTTCCAGGTATTGCACAAGATTAAGGTTTTCCTGAGACCTAAGGCATCTCTTCTACCGAACCAGCATGTCAACCCGCCATCTTCCTGTCCTGCACCCTAGAGAGGTCTCTCTTCACTGCTTGAATGTGGGTTGTGCTGTACAGATTTACCTCTTGGCTACGCCCTCCTTTAGACTTTTGGATTCTCTTTCCATTTTTCCTGAAGACACACAAGGGGATATCCTGCTTCTGGTTCTGTTATCTCTAGGTGGATTGGTCAAGTCATTGTTCAAGCCTATTCCCCACAGGTAAGGTTCCTCCCTTTCCTGATAGTCTGCTCCACTCGGTCTGTGGAGGGTTTCTGGGGCCCTTAAGTATCTAGTATTGATTTTACAGGTTTGTAAGGCTGCCACATGGTCCTCTCTTCACACGTTTACGATGTTTTACCAGCTTGGATGTTCAGGCCTTTGCTGAGGTCAGCTTCGGCTGGAAGGTGCTACATGCAGCTGTGTAGTCAAGTTCTTATAGCTTGCTTTGTTGGCAGTTTCCTGTATTGCCCATCCCCCTCTTTTGTATTTGTTCTGTAGATCCCAGTGATCTAAAGATGGCCATAGAATCCCCCCACCCCTTCCAGGCTATTATATTCTCAGAGCACCTATCACTGCACTCAGAAAACACTGATCAGTGGCTGCAGCTGCTGATCAACCTAAGTTTTCCAGCGTGCCGGTTCACCAGAAGCCCATCTAATGATGTAACAGGGAGGGTCACATACCGATCAAAATTTCGGCCTGCCCCTGCGGAACCAGCTGAATTTCCACCTGTCTATGCCCAGTTTAGAACCATGTCCCTGTCCTCCTCCAAGATCTGAGTCCTGCAGGTAGGTCCAAATTCCTGTATGTTCCCCCTTCACATGGGAGCCTTTGGGGAATCTGCGGTGCGGAGATCTGAAGTACGTTTGCATTTTCCCTCCTGCACCTCGTCTGTAGGCACCGCTCCGCTGTAATGCATAGAAAGGAACAAAATGTGACATCCGAATACATGTAGAAAAAAAAGAACCAAAAAGAAATAACCGAGCTCCACAATTTAAAGTACAAAACTCCGCCCACCAGAGCTGAGACTTCCTGAGCGGAAAAATACAACATTTTACAGTGCAGGTGATGTGAGCCGGCCCGGCATGTTCATTCCAATAGAAGATGCAGTAGGCGACACCCCACAGCGGGCGGGAACACCCCACAGGGGCGGGAACACCCCACAGCGGGCGGGAACACCCCACAGCGGGCGGGAACACAGCTAGGACAAGGACAGAGAATTTGGCTGATGTTCTCCTTCTTCTTTGTCTGGACAGGCATATGGCATCGTGTGGAAAGCCATCGATCGGAAGACGGGGGAGATTGTGGCTGTGAAGAAGATTTTTGATGCGTTCAGGAATCGGACGGACGCTCAGGTAAGCAGACCTATGTTTCTACTATCTCTCTGAGTGGCGCTGCCCACCCAAAGATCGCCGACTGGCCAAACTGCCCGCCCCCAAACATCTCCTACTGGCACTGCCTGGCCAAACTCACCGACTGGCGCTGCCCGCCCAAACATCTCCTACTGGCACTGCCTGCCTGGCCAAACTCACCGACTGGAGCTGCCCACCCAAAGATCCCAAAAACATCTCCTACTGGCACTGCCTGGCCAAACTCACCGACTGGAGCTGCCCGCCCAAGCCCAAACATCCTCCTCACTGGCACTCTCCTACTGGCACTGCCTGGCCAAAACTCACCGACTGGCAGCTGGCCAAACGGCCCGGCCAAACATCTCCTACTGGCACTGCCTGGCCAAACTCACCGACTGACTGCCAAACATCCCGGCCCTGGCCAAACATCTCCGACTGGAGCTGCCCGCCCAAACATCTCCTACTGGCACTGCCTGGCCAAACTCACCGACTGGTGCTGCCCCCAAAGATCGCCGACTGGAGCTGCCCGCCCAAACATCTCCTACTGGCGTTGCCCGCCAAAACATCTCCTACTGGCGTTGCCCGCCAAACATCTCTGACTGGCGCTCTCCAGACTGGCGCTGCCCGGCCAACTGGCGCTGCCCGGCCAAACATCTCTGACTGGCGCTGCCCGGCCAAACATCTCTGACTGGCGCTGCCCGGCCAAACATCTCTGACTGGCGCTGCCCGGCTAAACATCTCTGACTGGCACTGCCCGGCCAAACATCTCCGACTGGCGCTGCCCGGCCAAACATCTCCGACTGGCGCTGCCCGGCCAAACATCTCCGACTGGCGCTGCCTGGCCAAACATCTCCGACTGGTGCTGCCTGGCCAAACATCTCCGACTGGCGCTGCTTGGCCAAACATCTCCGACTGGCGCTGCCTGGCCAAACATCTCCGACTGGCGCTGCCCGGCCAAACATCTCCGACTGGCGCTGCCTGGCCAAACATCTCCGACTGGCGCTGCCTGGCCAAACATCTCCGACTGGCGCCCGGCCAAACATCTCCGACTGCCTGCCCCTCGGCCAAACATCTCCGACTGGCGCTGCCTGGCCAAACATCCCCGACTGGCGCTGCCTGGCCAAACATCTCCGACTGGCGCTGCCCGACCCAAACATCTCCGACTGGCGCTGCCCGGCCAAACATCCTGGCTCTGCCCACCCCGAAACTCGCCAACTGTGCTCTGTCCATCCAGCTCACTGACCTTTAGTCTGCTCTTCTCTTGCAGAGGACCTTCCGGGAAATTATGTTTCTTCAGGTGAGTGACTCCCATTGCCTGTTATCTGATCTGCGGGGGGCTTCTGTCACCAAACATTAAAGGTGAGGGCACCTACTAGCACAAGATCACGTACCAAAACCGCTGGAGCTGTAAAAGAAGTGGGGTACTTACCATGCTGGAGTCTCTACAACCTTCTCCCCAAGTCTCAACCGCTGGGCCTTGATCCACTTCAGTCAGAAAACCCCTTCAGTCACAAAAGGACGGAGTTTTCCTTCCTCTCGCCTGTCTGACAAAGTGACATCTTATTCGTCTAAAGCTGGCAATAGATGGATAGAGGGAACCTCCCACTGCGCTATTGTAGTCTGACAATGGGGACGCCTCCATTCCCAGAATACACAGATCAGCACTGATCACCCGTTTGGCTGCAACGCTGATTGAACAAAGATTTTCCAACAAGCCCATTCAGAAGTCGATCATTAGATATATGGATGTATACGGATATGTATTTATGGGGTATATGGACATACACTGATGGAAAAGAAAGCGTCATTTCTCAGACCGGGCCACCTTCTTCCATTGCTCTGTACTCCAGATCTGATCTCACGTGTCCATTGTAGAGACTTCTGGCTGTGGACACGGGTCAGCATGGGCACCCTGACCGGTCTGCGGCTACACAGCCCCATACACAGCAAACTGCAGTGCTCTGTGTGTTCTGACACCTTGGATCAGACCACATGGACTAGCCTTCCCCCTCACCTCCATCAATGAACCTTACCCCCCCCTCTATCAATGACCGCCCCCCCCACCCCTTCCCACCTCCTTCAATGAACCCTTCCCACCCCACCTCCATCAATGAGCCCTTCCCACCCCAGCTCCATCAGTGAGCCCTTCCCACCCCACCTCCATCAATGAACCCTTCCCACCCCACCTCCATCAGTGAGCCATTCCCACCCCACCTCCTTCAATGAGCTTTCCCACCCCACACCTCCATCAGTGAACCCTTCCCACCCCACACCTCCATCAGTGAACCCTTCCCACCCCACACCTCCATACAGTGAACCCTTCCCACCCCATCTCCATCAATGAACCCTTCCCCCCACCTCCTTCAATGAGCCCTTCCCTCCCCATCTCCATCAATGAGCCCTTCCCACCCCAGCTCCATCAGTGAGCCTCCCACCCCACCTCCTTCAATGAGCTTTCCCACCCCACCTCCATCAATGAACCCTTCCCTCCCCACCTCCTTCAGTGAGCCCTTCCCGCCCCACCTCCATCAATGAGCCCTTCCCCCTCGCCTCCATCAATGAACCTTTCCCCCCCCCCAACCTCCATCAATGAGCCTTGACCCCCCCGCACCCCACAATGCGCCCTTCCCACCTCCATCATGAGCCCTTACCCCGACCTCCATCAATGAGCCCTTCCCTCCCCACCTCCATCAATGAGCCTTCCCACCCCACCTTCATCAATGAACCCTTCCCTCCCCACCTCCATCAATGAACCCTTCCCTCCCCACCTCCATCAATGAACCCTTCCCTCCCCACCTCCATCAATGAGCCTTCCCACCCCACCTCCATCAATGAGCCTTCCCACCCCACCTCCATCAATGAGCCTTCCCACCCCACCTCCATCAATGAGCCTTCCCATCAATGAACCCTTCCCACCCCACCTCCATCAATGAACCCTTCCCACCCCACCTCCATCAATGAACCCTTCCCTCCCCACCTCCATTAGTGAGCCCTTCCCACCCCGCCCTTCCCACCCCGCCTCAATGAGCCCTCCCACCCCGCCTCCATCAATGAGCCCTTCCCACCCCGCCTCCATCAATGAGCCCTTCCCACCCCGCCTCCATCAATGAGCCCTTCCCACCCCGCCTCCATCAATGAGCCCTTCCCACCCCGCCTCCATCAATGAGCCCTTCCCTCCCCTCCACAATGAGCCCTCCCATCCATCAGTGAGCCCTTCCCACCCCCGCCTCCTTCAATGAGCCCTCCCACCCCGCCTCCATCAATGAGCCCTTCCCACCCCGCCTCCTTCAATGAGCCCTTCCCACCCCGCCTCCATCAATGAGCCCTTCCCACCCCGCCTCCATCAATGAGCCCTTCCCACCCCCCCGCCTCCATCAATGAGCCCTTCCCACCCCGCCTCCATCAATGAGCCCTTCCCACCTCGCCTCCATCATTGACTGCCCCCAACCCCTTCCCACCCCCATTCAATGAGCCCCCCACCATTCCCACCCTCCATTATTAAACCTCCCTTTCCCTCCTTCCCAACCTCCATCAATGCCCCCCCCTCCCCCCACCATTATTAAATTATTAAACCTCCCTTCCCTCCCCACCTCCATCAATGAGCCTCTGTCACTGGCTGGACTGTTCTCCTTCCTTGGACCACTGCAGACCGGGAACATCCCACAAGAGCTGCAGGTTTGGAGTTGCTCTGCCCCCGTCATCTAGACATTACAATTCGGTCCTTGTCAGAGTCCCTCCAATTCTTACGCTTGTCCATTGTTCTGCCTTCATTGCATCAACTTCAGGGACAACATGTTCACTTGCTGCCTCATATATTCCACCCACTTTCAGATGTCATTGCAGTGAGATAATCCATGTTATTCACTTCACCTGTCAATGGTCAGAATGTTATGACTGATCGGCGTCTGTGGGGTGTATATACGGCGTCTGTGGGGTATATATACGGCGTCTGTGGGGTGTATATACGGCGTCTGTGGGGTGTATATACGGCGTCTGTGGGGTATATATACGGCGTCTGTGGGGTGTATACGGCGTCTGTGGGGTATATATACGGCGTCTGTGGGGTGTATATATACGGCGTCTGTGGGGTATATATACGGCGTCTGTGGGGTGTATACGGCGTCTGTGGGGTATATATACGGCGTCTGTGGGGTATATATACGGCGTCTGTGGGGTATATATACGGCGTCTGTGGGGTGTATACGGCGTCTGTGGGGGGTATATATACGGCGTCTGTGGGGTGTATATACGGTATCTGTGGGGTATATATACGGCGTCTGTGGGGTGTATATATACGGCGTCTGTGGGGGGTATATATACGGCGTCTGTGGGGTATATATACGGCGTCTGTGGGGTGTATATACGGCGTCTGTGGGGTGTATATACGGCGTCTGTGGGGTGTATATACGGCGTCTGTGGGGTGTATATACGGCGTCTGTGGGGGGTATATATACGGCGTCTGTGGGGGGTATATATATACGGCGTCTGTGGGGGGTATATATACGGCGTCTGTGGGGGTATATATACGGCGTCTGTGGGGGGTATATATACGGCGTCTGTGGGGGGTATATATACGGCGTCTGTGGGGGGTATATATATGGCGTCTGTGGGGTGTATACGGCATCTGTGGGGGGTATACGGCGTCTGTGGGGTGTATACGGCGTCTGTGGGGTGTATATATACGGCGTCTGTGGGGTGTATACGACGTCTGTGGGGTGTATATATATGGCGTCTGTGGGGTGTATATACGGCGTCTGTGGGGGGTATATATACGACGTCTGTGGGGGGTATATATATGGCGTCTGTGGGGTGTATACGGCGTCTGTGGGGGGTATATATACGACGTCTGTGGGGTGTATATATATGGCGTCTGTGGGGTGTATACGACGTCTGTGGGGTGTATATGGTGCCTGTGAGGTGTATACGGCGTCTGTGGGGGGTATATATACGGCGTGCTGTGTGGGGTGTATACGGCGTCTGTGGGGGGGTATATATACGGCGTCTGTGGGGGGTATATATACGGCGCTGTGGGGGGTATATATACGGCGTCTGTGGGGGGTATATATACGGCGTCTGTGGGGTGTATACGGCGTCTGTGGGGGGTATATATACGGCGTCTGTGGGGGGTATATATACGGCGTCTGTGGGGGGTATATATACGGCGTCTGTGGGGTGTATACGGCGTGTGTGGGGGGTATATACGGCGTCTGTGGGGTGTATATATACGGCGTCTGTGGGGGGTATATATACGGCGTCTGTGGGGTGTATACGGCGTCTGTGGGGGGTATATATACGGCGTCTGTGGGGTGTATACGGCGTCTGTGGGGGTATATATACGGCGTCTGTGGGGTGTATAGGGCGTCTGTGGGGGGTATATATACGGCGTCTGTGGGGGGTATATATACGGCGTCTGTGGGGTGTATACGGCGTCTGTGGGGGGTATATACGGCGTCTGTAAGGTGTATACGGCGTCTGTGGGGGGTATATATACGGCGTCTGTGGGGTGTATACGGCGTCTGTGGGGGGTATATATACGGCGTCTGTGGGGGGTATATATACGGCGTCTGTGGGGTGTATATACGGCGTCTGTGGGGTGTATATATACGGCGTCTGTGGGGTGTATATACGGCGTCTGTGGGGGGTATACTGACTGGTTTGTTGCCTCCTGCAGGAATTTGGGGAACATCAGAATATTATCAAACTGCTGAATGTGATCCGCGCTCAGAATGATAAGGACATTTACCTCGTCTTTGAATACATGGGTAACATCACATCCCTGTGTGTCTCCGCCCCTTCTGCCTATCTCCGCCCCTTCTGCCTGACCCTCCCTGCCTGTCCCTCTGCCCTCCCTGCCTGTCCCTCTGCCCTCCCTGCCTGTCCCTCCCTGCCTGTCCCTCTGCCCGTCCCTCTGCCCTCCCTGCCTGTCCCTCTGCCCGTCCCTCTGCCCTCCCTGCCTGTCCCTCTGCCCTCCCTGCCTGTCCCTCTGCCCTCCCTGCCTGTCCCTCCCTGCCTGTCCCTCTGCCCTCCTTGCCTGTCCCTTTGCCCTCCCTGCCTGTCCCTCTGCCCTCCCTGCCTGTCCCTCTGCCCTCCATGCCTGTCCCTCTGCCCTCCTTGCCTGTCCCTCTGCCCTCCCTGCCCTCCCTGCCCTCCCTGCCTGTCCTCTTCCTTCCCTCCCTGCCTGTCCTCTTCCCTGCCTGTCCTCTTCCCGCCCTCCCTCCCTGCCCGTCCTCTCTTCCCGCCCTCCCTCCCTGCCCGTCCTCTTCCCGCCCTCCCTCCCTGCCCGTCCTCTTCCCGCCCTCCCTCCCTGCCCGTCCTCTTCCCGCCCTCCCTCCCCGCCCGTCCTCTTCCTTCCCTCCCTGCCCGTCCTCTTCCCGCCCTCCCTGCCTATACATTGTATGTAGTGGGGAGTGTTCTGTGTCCTGCAGAGACTGATCTCCATGCGGTCATAAAGAAAGGGAATCTGCTGAAGGATATTCACATGAGATTCATCCTCTACCAACTGCTGAAAGCCACCAAATTCCTTCATTCTGGGAACGTCATCCATCGAGACCAGAAGGTGAGAGACCACCACTGACCCACCCCCCCACTGACACCAGGTGAGAGACCACCACTGACCAACCTTCACCCCCCACTGAGACCAGATGATCTGACCACCCCCCACTGAGACCAGAAGGTGAGAGACCACCACTGACCCACCCCCCACTGAGACCAGGTGAGAGACCACCACTGACCCACCCCCCAATGAGACCAGGTGAGAGACCACCACTGACCCACCCCCCAATGAGACCAGGTGAGAGACCACCACTGACCCACCCCCCAATGAGACCAGGTGAGAGACCACCACTGACCAACTTTCACCCCCTCTGAGACCAGAAGATCTGACCACCCCCCACTGAGACCAGAAGGTGAGAGACCACCACTGACCAACCTTCACCCCCACTGAGACCAGAAGATCTGACCACCCCCCACTGAGACCAGAAGGTGAGAGACCACCACTGACCAACCTTCACCCCCCACTGAGACCAGATGATCTGACCACCCCCCACTGAGACCAGAAGGTGAGAGACCACCACTGACCCACCCCCCACTGAGACCAGGTGAGAGACCACCACTGACCCACCCCCCAATGAGACCAGGTGAGAGACCACCACTGACCCACCCCCCAATGAGACCAGGTGAGAGACCACCACTGACCCACCCCCCAATGAGACCAGGTGAGAGACCACCACTGACCAACTTTCACCCCCTCTGAGACCAGAAGATCTGACCACCCCCCACTGAGACCAGAAGGTGAGAGACCACCACTGACCAACCTTCACCCCCACTGAGACCAGAAGATCTGACCACCCCCCACTGAGACCAGAAGGTGAGAGACCACCACTGACCAACCTTCACCCCCACTGAGACCAGAAGATCTGACCACCCCCCAATGAGACCAGAAGGTGAGAGACCACCACTGACCAACCCCCACCCCTCACTGAGACCAGAAGATCTGATCACCCCCTACCGAAACCAGAAGCTGAGAGACCACCATTGACCGCCATTGTAGGGGGTCTAACCTCCCGCTCTAACTGTCTCTTTCTATGTTCAGCCGTCTAATATCTTGCTGGATGCGGACTGTCTGGTGAAGTTGTGTGACTTTGGTCTGGCACGATCTCTGTATCAGATCCAGGAGGATTCTGGGAATCCGGCTCTTACTGAATATGTGGCAACTCGCTGGTACCGAGCGCCAGAGATCTTGCTGGGATCTCATCGGTATGTTGGAAAATGGTGTGGTGGGGAGGTGGGTCGGGGAATGGTACGGTGGGGAGGTGGGTTCAGGGGATGGTGCGGTGGGAAGGTGGTTCAGGGGATGGTGCGGTGGGAAGGCGGTTCAGGGGATGGTGCGGTGGGAAGGTGGGTCGGGGAATGGTGCGGTGGGAAGGTGGGTCGGGGAATGGTGCGGTGGGGAGGTGGGTTCAGGGGATGGTGCGGTGGGGAGGTGGGTTCAGGGGATGGTGCGGTGGGAAGGTGGTTCAGGGGATGGTGCGGTGGGGAGGTGGGTTCAGGGGATGGTGCGGTGGGAAGGTGGGTTCAGGGGATGGTGCGGTGGGAAGGTGGGTTCAGGGGATGGTGCGGTGGGAAGGTGGTTCAGGGGATGGTGCGGTGGGGAGGTGGGTTCAGGGAATGGTGCGGTGGGGAGGTGGGTTCAGGGGATGGTGCGGTGGGAAGGTGGGTGGGGGGGGATGGTGCGGTGGAGAGGAGGGTGGGGGAATGGTGCGGTGGGAAGGTGGGTCAGGGAATGGGCGGTGGGAAGGTGAGTCGGGAAATGGTGCGGCGGTGTAGGGAGGGTCGGCGGGATGGTACGGTAGGGAGGTGGGTCGGGGAATGGTGCTGTGGGTAGGTGAGTCGGGGAATGGTGCGGTGGGGAGGTGGGTCGGGGAATGGTACGGTGGGAAGGTGGGTTCAGGGGATGGTGCGGTGGGAAGGTGGTTCAGGGGATGGTGCGGTGGGAAGGTGGTTCAGGGGATGGTGCGGTGGGAAGGTGGTTCAGGGGATGGTGCGGTGGGAAGGTGGGTCGGGGGATGGTGCGGTGGGGAGGTGGGTTCAGGGGATGGTGCGGTGGGGAGGTGGGTTCAGGGGATGGTGCGGTGGGGGGAATGGTGCTGCGGGAAGGTGAATCGGGAAATGCTGCGGCGGGTAGGTGGGTCGGCGGGATGGTACGGTAGGGAGGTGGGTCGGGGAATGGTGCGGTGGGATGGTGGGTCGGGGATGGTGCGGTGGGAAGGTGGGTGGGGGAATGGTGCGGTGGGAAGGTGGGTGGGGGAAATGGTGCGGCGGGAAGGTGGGTCGGGAATGGTGCGGCGGGGGGTGGGTCGGGGAATGGTGCTGTGGGATGGTGGGTCGGGAATGGTGCGGCGGGTAGGTGGGTCGGGGAATGGTGCTGTGGGATGGTGGGTCGGGGAATGGTGCTGTGGGAAGGTGGTCGGGGAATGGTGCGGCGGGTAGGTGGGTCGGCGGGATGGTATGGTAGGGAGGTGGGTCGGGGAATGGTGCTGTGGGAAGGTGGGTTGGGGGGATGGTGCTGTGGGAAGGTGGGTGGGGAATGGTGGGAAATGGTGCTGGGGAAGGTGGGTTGGGGGGATGGTGCTGTGGGAAGGTGGGTCGGGGAATGGTGCTGTGGGAAGGTGGGTCGGCGGGATGGTATGGTAGGGAGGTGGGTCGGGGAATGGTGCTGTGGGAAGGTGGGTTGGGGGGATGGTATGGTAGGGAGGTGGGTCGGGGAATGGTGCGGTGGGATGGTGGGTCGGGGAATGGTGCGGTGGGATGGTGGGTCGGGGACTGGTGCGGTGGGTCTGAAAATGGTACGGTGGGGAGGGGGGTTGTGGAATGGTGCGGCGAGGAGGTCCGTCGGGGGAATGGTGCGGGGGGAGGGGGATCATTGACTGGTGCGGTGGGGGGGGGGTCATTGACTGGTGCGGTAGGTAAGTGTCCCTGATCTCATTCTCTGCCCTCTGTAGGTACACGAAGGGGGTGGACATGTGGAGTGTGGGTTGTATTCTTGCGGAGATGTTGTTGGGGAAGCCGTTGTTCCCGGGGACGTCCACCATCAACCAGATTGAACGCATCATGAGTGTCATCCCCCCGCCCTCCCAGGAAGGTGAGTCCCAGCACAGAGGTGGGACCTGTAGGGGGTGGAGTAAGGTTAAAAGCTTTTCAAAATGAAATGTGATGACAAAATGACCACACCCCCAAAATGACCACACCCCCAAAGTCACACCCCCATTTTTACCATGCCCCGAATTCATTGGTCACAGAATGCAAATAGTAAAGGTATGAAAAGAAAATATCTCACGGGTCGTGGCGGTGCAATGGGCGGAGTCCAGGGGTCGTGGCGGTGTAATGGGCGGAGTCCAGGGGTCGTGGCAGTGTAAGGGATGGAGCCCAGGGGGTCGTGGCGGTGTAATGGGCGGAGTTCAGGTATTAACTGCATTTTCAATACCTCCTCCTTTGAGTGGTTGCTCCTGGTTTCCACACATCTGGGTGTCCTGCTTTATAGCCGCCCCCCCCCCCCCCACACACACACACTTTTCTTTATCACAGGGCCTCGTCTAATTCCTGTAGATTGGGTTATGCTGCAACCTTCAGGTGAATGGACATTGGCCAGAAAAAAGTCAGACATAACCCCTCCCAGTGTCCATGGGGGATTGGATGTCTCTCGGTGGGTGATGGTCCCGGCTCTTACTACCTGTTTCCTTGCTGGAATGAGATTTTCCGGATTGTTTCCCTGTGATTCTGGGACTTGGAGACGCTTTACCTGGACCCAGCTATGAAAGAGCAGGCATAGCCTGCGGGCAGCAATCTCAGGGGTATCCCATGACCTCGTTGGCAGGGTGCTTTACAGGTCCAACCTTTGCAGTACAGTCACTGTGAGGGGTGAAGGTTGGCCCTGTGGCCTGATACGTGAGGGGTGAAGGTTGGTCCTACTGGCTCTGTGGCATAGAACGTGAGGGGTGAAGGTTGGTCCTACTGGCCCTGTGGCCTGATACGTGAGGGGTGAAGGTTGGTCCTACTGGCCCTGTGGCCTGATACGTGAGGGGTGAAGGTTGGTCCTACTGGCTCTGTCGCCTGATACGTGAGGGGTGAAGGTTGGTCCTACTGGCCCTGTGGCCTAGAACGTGAGGGGTGAAGGTTGGCCCTAGTGGCCCTGTGGCCTAGAACGTGAGGGGTGAAGGTTGGTCCTACTGGCCCTGTGGCCTGATACGTGAGGGGTGAAGGTTGGTCCTACTGGCTCTGTGGCCTGATACGTGAGGGGTGAAGGTTGGTCCTACTGGCTCTATGGCCTGATAGGTGAGGGGTGAAGGTTGGTCCTACTGGCCCTGTGGCCTGATACGCGAGGGGTGAAGGTTGGTCCTACTGGCTCTGTGGCCTGATACGTGAGGGATGAAGGTTGGTCCTACTGGCCCTGTGGCCTGATACGTGAGGGGTGAAGGTTGGTCCTACTGGCCCTGTGGCCTAGAACGTGAGGGGTGAAGGTTGGCCCTAGTGGCCCTGTGGCCTAGAACGTGAGGGGTGAAGGTTGGTCCTACTGGCCCTGTGGCCTGATACGTGAGGGGTGAAGGTTGGTCCTACTGGCTCTGTGGCCTGATACGTGAGGTGTGAAGGTTGGTCCTACTGGCTCTATGGCCTGATAGGTGAGGGGTGAAGGTTGGTCCTACTGGCCCTGTGGCCTGATACGTGAGGGGTGAAGGTTGGTCCTACTGGCCCTGTGGCCTGATACGTGAGGGGTGAAGGTTGGTCCTACTGGCTCTATGGCCTGATAGGTGAGGGGTGAAGGTTGGTCCTACTGGCTCTATGGCCTGATACGTGAGGGGTGAAGGTTGGTCCTACTGGCTCTGTGGCCTGATACGTGAGGGGTGAAGGTTGGTCCTACTGGCTCTGTGGCCTGATACGTGAGGGGTGAAGGTTGGTCCTACTGGCCCTGTGGCCTGATACGTGAGGGGTGAAGGTTGGTCCTACTGGCTCTATGGCCTGATAGGTGAGGGGTGAAGGTTGGTCCTACTGGCCCTGTGGCCTGGAACGTTCCTCTGTGGAATCCCATAAGATGTGACAACACCCTGTGTTTTTTCTGCTGGGGGCTGGGTTCTGCTGTACTACAGCATGGAGCATTGTACAGCCATAGCAATGTTCAGAATAGGTGGAGCCAGGCCATGATGACATCATAGGGCGTATCTGGACATGTGCTGGCGTCATTCTGGGTTCTGCTGGGTGACACCGTGCAGCCAGCACTTCCTCTGCAGGTATTGGGGACACTTATGGAGGAGTGACGTGCTTGGCAGACACCAGTCTGATACTAATACAGCCTTCAGCGGCCAGGAATCGGTCCTTTCATAAATGGCAGACCTCTACCTCCAAGCAGAAGCCTACCACCCAGTTCCATAAGAACTGGACCCCCAAAGGCTCAGGGACAGGTCCTCTTCCCAGTGACGTCACCCCCACTCTCGGTTCAGAGACATTTATTGGTCTTTGTGGCCCTCTAGACTCACAAATCAAACGATGGGTCCACAGAATGTGGTGTCCAATAGATACAAGCTGGAAATTTGGCTGCTTCCCTCCTCACTTTTATGTGGTCAAGGGTCTCTTTACAGCCAGAAAAAGGGGCAGTTTTCTGGAAAGACCGCTGATTCAAGGGGTCATCTGGCCCGTACCAGAAGGGGTCATCTGGCCCGTACCGGAAGGGGTCATCTGGCCCGTACCGGAAGGGGTCATCTGGCCCGTACCGGAAGGGGTCATCTGGCCCGTACCGGAAGGGGTCATCTGGCCCGTACCGGAAGGGGTCATCTGGCCCGTACCGGAAGGGGTCATCTGGCCCGTACCGGAAGGGGAGAGGTCTGTTTACGGATCCCAAGCCAAACAGATGTTACATCCATTCTGGACCTCCAAGGGTCTCCACCATTCCTGCAGTAGAGGATTGGAACTTCCAGTTTGTGGTGTCACCATTCGGTCTGTCCTTGGCCCCCAGATTGTTTACCGAGAACCCCCCAATGACTGGCCTTGTCTTCTCTGCAGACATCCTGGCTATAAAGTCGGAGTATGGTGCCTCTGTGATCAGCAGGATGAACGGACGGTGAGTACAGAGAATGCAGAACACTGGATATTGGGGAGTACAGATATTGGGGTGAATGGAGCACATGGTACACTGTATGGGGGTACAGATATTGGGGTGAGGGGAGCACACTGTACATTGTATGGGGGTGCAGACATTGGGGTGGGTGAGGGGAGCACACAGTACATTGTATGGGGGTACAGACATTGGGGTGAATGGAGCACACTGTACATTGTATGGGGGTGCAGACATTGGGGTGAATGGAGCACACTGTACATTGTATGGGGGGTGCAGACATTGGGGTGAATGGAGCACATGGTACACTGTATGGGGGTACAGACATTGGTGTGAGGGGCACACAGTACACGGGAGGTACAGACTGGGGTGAATGGAGGGTACATTGTATGGAGGTACAGACATTGGGGTGAATGGAGCACACGGTACACTGTATGGGGGTACAGACATTGGGGTGAGGGGGGTCACACTGTACATTGTATGGGGGTACAGATATTGGGGTGAATGGAGCACACAGTACACTGTATGGGGGTACAGACATTGGGGTGAGGGGGTCACACTGTACATTGTATGGGGGTACAGACATTGGGGTGGGTGAGGGGAGCACACAGTACATTGTATGGAGGTACAGACATTGGGGTGAATGGAGCACACTGTACATTGTATGGGGGTGCAGACATTGGGGTGAGGGGGTCACACTGTACATTGTATGGGGGTGCAGACATTGGGGTGAGGGGGTCACACTGTACATTGTATGGGGGTGCAGACATTGGGGTGAGGGGGTCACACTGTACATTGTATGGGGGTGCAGACATTGGGGTGAGGGGGTCACATGGTACACTGTATGGGGGTGCAGACATTGGGGTGAGGGGAGCACACGGTACATTGTATGGGGGTGCAGACATTGGGGTGAGGGGGTCACACTGTACATTGTATGGGGGTGCAGACATTGGGGTGAATGGAGCACACTGTACATTGTATGGGGGTACAGACATTGGGGTGAGGGGGTCACACTGTACATTGTATGGGGGTGAAGACATTGGGGTGAGGGGAGCACACTGTACATTGTATGGGGGTACAGACATTGGGTGAGGGGAGCACACGGTGCACTGTATGGGGGTACAGACATTGGGGTGAGGGGAGCACATGGTACATTGTATGGGGGTGCAGACATTGGGGTGAGGGGATCACACTGTACACTATATGGGGGTACAGACATTGGGGTGAGGGGAGCACATGGTACATTGTATGGGGGTGCAGACATTGGGGAGAGGGGATCACACTGTACATTGTATGGGGGTGCAGACATTGGGGTGAGGGGAGCACACGGTATACTGTATGGGGTTACAGACATTGGGGTGAGGGGAGCACACTGTACACTGTATGGGGGTACAGACATTGGGGTGAGGGGAGCACACTGGGGTACATTGTATGGGGGTGCAGACTTTGGGGTGAGGGGGTCACACGGTATACTGTATGGGGTTACAGACATTGGGGTGAGGGGAACACACGGTACACTGTATGGGGGTACAGACATTGGGGTGAGGGGAGCACACTGTACGGTACACTGTATGGGGAGGGGTACAGACATTGGGGTGAGGGGAGTACACGGTACATTGTATGGGGGTGTAGACATTGGGGGGGCACACTGAGGGGGTCACACGGTACACTGTATGGGGTTACAGACATTGGGGTGAGGGGAGGGAAGCACACTGTATATTGGGGTGGGGAGCACACTGGGAGCACACTGTATATCGGGGTGAGGGGGCACACTGTATATTGGGGTGAGGGGAGCACACTGTATATTGGGGTGAGGGGAGGGGAGCACACTGTATATCGGGGTGAGGGGAGCACACTGTATATTTGGGGTACATCGTATGGAATATGGCGGTAATTGTACGCCGTGCTCCTGTTTCCAGGCAGAAGGTGTCCCTGGCGGAGCTCCTCCCCCCAGCGTGTCCTCCTGAGGCGGTGGATCTGCTGCACAGACTTCTGCTCTTTAATCCGGAGAAGAGGCTGACAGCGGAGGGCGCTCTGGATCACCCGTATGTGCGCAGGTAAGTGCTCCCCGTGGTTGGTCCTCAGAGCTCCGCCTGACCTCCATCATCACCTCCCTCATGTCTGTCCGCAGATTTCACTCTCCAGCCCGAGAGCCCGCCTTAGACTATGACGTCATCCTGCCTGTCGATGACGACATACAACTGTCTGTAGCCGAATATCGGAACAAACTGTACGAGGTGAGTGATGTCATCATATGTCTGGTGTAGTCCCTCCCCCTGTGTAACATGAATGTACATACTGTACGACATGATCATGTAGTCCCTCCCCCTGTGTAACGTTTGAGTAGATGTACAGATTTGAGTAGATAGTTTTTCAGTCCTTGTCATTGGTGCTCAGACACAGAGGCATCAATTAGCAGCTGAAAAGCCCGGCTTCCTGGATGTAACACCTACGTACTAATAAGGTTTTGTCACCTTCTGGTGAAACCAGCTTAAAGGAAATGGCTGGAGACATTTCGGCTTCATGACAGCAGGGGGTCTCCAATCTGGGGAGCTAAAAGTGTCTCCATACATCAAAGGGGAATGTTCCATCCCTCATAAAGGCTAAAATAGTAGTTGCAGAGAGATGAGAATACTCCCTTCTTGTAGGGCACTCTGTGGGTCACACCGACACCTAAAACCATATTTGTGGCTTAGGTAGAAGGCCAGGAAAATGCAGGGAATGGTTAGGTGGCGCTGGATGGCGACAGTCGGATGGTGTTTTGTACTGTCACACGATCGGACCGATGCGCTGGTGTCGGAAATCCAATCCCCAACTTGGTGTTTCAAGCCGGTCTTGGCCCGATTGAACTTGGGCAGGTCAACACCCAGAACATCCTGTGGGCGGGTACAGGAACACCCCCCAGGGTCAATTGGCTGAAGACTAATGTCCCGCCTACGTCCATATCCCCGTAAATGGAGTACCCGGACATTGGGACATTTGTGATTCGTATGGAGCCGGTTTGATTTGACTGACGGATGGCTGATTCTCTGACTTGCTCCAGTCGCAGGATAGATCTCGGTAAACGTTTTATTCTGTCTTTTATTTCCTTTTATTTTATAGTGAAGTCATTTGTGTGTCTTCTTGTATTTCTGTAACTTTTTATATTTTGTACATATTTTATGCTCCGCCCACTTTCGGGATATTAAAATTAATTAGTGACTTCTGTGTATTTAAGCTCGGGCTCATATCTCCGGAGAGATTGGATTGGAGAGATTGGATTGGAGAGATTGGATTGGAGAGATTGGATTGGAGAGATTGGATTGCAGAGATTGGATTGCAGAGATTAGATTGGAGAGATTAGATTGTATCGTATTTTAGTGCCTTTATACGCTCAGTCAAGCTCATTGCCTATCTGTATGCAATTGCACTGTGTGTGGGCAGATTATATGCAGATTGTAAAAGGTAACATATCGGCCAGAAGGAGATCTGTGTGTTGGGGGTGTCCCAACAGACCGTTCTGCAGATAAACTGTTGGGTGGTGGCAGGCTACCGTTTGTGGTGTGTCTGGTGTGGGGGGGGGTGGACAGTGGAAGGGTGATAACACCGGGGTACAAGCTGTAGGTAGCTGGAGGAATCCTGGAAGGGTGTGATTACTAAGCAGCTCCTCAACCCTTAGTGTGCACCAGATTGTATGTAAGATTTGTATCTGCCAGTGTGTGGTCGACCAGCTGGATTGGAGTCTCCCTGGTGGTGAGCAGAGGTAGTGCAGCTGTGAAGGATATCACGGCTGGTCTTGTATACGGTTTTATATATTTCAGAGTTCAGTCCCCTTTATTCCCTCGTACTCCAAGTCACGTGCGCCTCGGTTAGTTTGTCGCTGTGGGCGTGGCATGTGGGGGACACGTGACAGGTTGGTCGTGACAGATTGGTGGCAGCGGTGGGATCTGCTTAGTACATTACTGCATGGCTTAGTCATGTAACCCGTGTCCTGAAGCTCACTCAGTGCATCATTGACTGAAACTACATCTAATCTACTCAAATCTGTACATTTATGTCACATGTACGTTACCCCCTGTAATGCCACGTGTCCGGTGTAGTCCCCTCCCCCTGTACAGCTACGTGTCCGGTGTACTTCCTCCCCCTGTAATGCCACGTGTCCGGTGTAGTCCCTCCCCCTGTACAGCTACGTGTCCGGTGTACTTCCTCCCCCTGTAATGCCATGTGTCCGGTGTAGTCCCCCCCCTGTACAGCTACGTGTCCGGTGTAGTCCCCTCCCCCTGTACAGCTACGTGTCCGGTGTACTTCCTCCCCCTGTAATGCCATGTGTCCGGTGTAGTCCCCTCCCCCCCGTAATGCCACGTGTCCGGTGTAGTCCCTCCCCCTGTACAGCTACGTGTCCGGTGTACTTCCTCCCCCTGTAATGCCATGTGTCCGGTGTAGTCCCCTCCCCCTGTACAGCTACGTGTCCGGTGTAGTCCCCTCCCCCTGTACAGCTACGTGTCCGGTGTACTTCCTCCCCCTGTAATGCCACGTGTCCGGTGTAGTCCCTCCCCCTGTACAGCTACGTGTCCGGTGTACTTCCTCCCCCTGTAATGCCACGTGTACGGTGTAGTCCCTCCCCCTGTACAGCTACGTGTCCGGTGTACTTCCTCCCCCTGTAATGCCACGTGTCCGGTGTAGTCCCCTCCCCCTGTACAGCTACGTGTTCGGTGTACTTCCTCCCCCTGTAATGTCACGTGTCCGGTGTAGTCCCCTCCCCCTGTACAGCCACGTGTCCGGTGTAGTCCCTCCCCCTGTACAGCTACGTGTCCGGTGTAGTCCCTCCCCCTGTACAGCTACGTGTCCGGTGTAGTCCCTCCCCCTGTACAGCTACGTGTCCGGTGTAGTCCCTCCCCCTGTACAGCTACGTGTCCGGTGTAGTCCCTCCCCCTGTACAGCTACGTGTCCGGTGTAGTCCCTCCCCCTGTACAGCTACGTGTCCGGTGTAGTCCCTCCCCCTGTACAGCTACGTGTCCGGTGTAGTCCCTCCCTCTGTACAGCTACGTGTCCGGTGTAGTCCCTCCCCCTGTACAGCTACGTGTCCGGTGTAGTCCCTCCCCCTGTACAGCTACGTGTCCGGTGTAGTCCCTCCCCCTGTACAGCCAGGTGTCCAGTGTAGTCCCTCCCTCCCCCTGTACAGCTACGTGTCCGGTGTAGTCCCTCCCCTTGTACAGCTACGTGTCCGGTGTAGTCCCTCCCCTTGTACAGCTACGTGTCCGGTGTAGTCCCTCCCCCTTGTACAGCTACGTGTCCGGTGTAGTCCCTCCCCTTGTACAGCTACGTGTCCGGTGTAGTCCCTCCCCCTGTACAGCTACGTGTCCGGTGTACTCCCTCCCCCTGTACAGCCAGGTGTCCAGTGTAGTCCCTCCCTCCCCCTGTACAGCTACGTGTCTGGTGTACTCCCTCCCCCTGTACAACCACGTGTCCGGTGTAGTCCCTCCCCTTGTACAGCTACGTGTCCGGTGTAGTCCCTCCCCTTGTACAGCTACGTGTCCGGTGTAGTCCCTCCCCCTGTACAGCTACGTGTCCGGTGCTGTCCCTCCCTCCCCCTGTACAGCCATGTGTCGTCCCTCCCTCCACCTGTACAGCCACGTGTCGTGTGTCATCCCTTCCTTCCCCTGTATAGCCACGTGTCCTTGCAGCTCCTCCCCCTGTACAGCCACGTGTCCTTGTAGCTCCTCCCCCTGTACAGCCACGTGTCCTTGCAGCTCCTCGCCCTGTACATCCACGTGTCCTTGTAGCTCCTCCCCCTGTACAGCCACGTGTCCTTGTAGCTCCTCCCCCTGTACAGCCACGTGTCTTTGTAGCTCCTCCCCCTGTACAGCCACGTGTCCTTGTAGCTCCTCCCCCTTTACAGCCACGTGTCCCCTGTGCAGCCACGTGTCCTTGTAGCTCCTCCCCCTGTACAGCCACGTGTCCTTGTAGCTCCTCCCCCTGTACAGCCACGTGTCCTTGTAGCTCCTCCCCCTGTACAGCCACGTGTCCTTGTAGCTCCTCCCCCTGTACAGCCACGTGTCCTTGTAGCTCCTCCCCCTGTACAGCCACGTGTCCTTGTAGCTCCTCCCCCTGTACAGCCACGTGTCCTTGTAGCTCCTCCCCCTGTACAGCCACGTGTCCTTGTAGCTCCTCCCCCTGTACAGCCACGTGTCCTTGTAGCTCCTCCCCCTGTACACCCACGTGTCCTTGTAGCTCCTCCCCCTGTACAGCCACGTGTCCTTGTAGCTCCTCCCCCTGTACAGCCACGTGTCCTTGTAGCTCCTCCCCCTGTACAGCCACGTGTCCTTGTAGCTCCTCCCCCTGTACAGCCACGTGTCTTTGTAGCTCCTCCCCCTGTACAGCCACGTGTCTTTGTAGCTCCTCCCCCTGTACAGCCACGCAGAGTCATACCTTTGTTTGGAGGGAGCGGTAGGACGGTGTCGGTAATGCAGTTTTATAATCCGGGACAGATGGTGGCGCTTGGCTGAGGATGTCTTCTGTTGGTAAAACATTGGGAGGAGCTCCGGTCAGAGGTGGAGTCTTCCTTGTCCCCTCCCCCATCATATCTGACAGATTCTCTGCTCTCTGCAGATGATCCTGGAGAGGAAGGTGAACGCTCGCCGACAGAAACGGGAAAAGGAAAGCGCCGACCCCAGACCTTCCCAGGAGTCCAGAGTGAAGAAAGATGCGGAGCCTCCCATCCTCAGGGGCCGTCCTGGAGAACTGTGGGCAGACCCCACCTACTGACCCCCTCTCCAAATCCCTGCCTGCTGACAGCTGTACACAGGGGCCCGGGGCGGGTCATCCGGGGCCCAAACCAACATCCCCTGTATATAACCCCATAACTCACAGCACCGTCCCAGGTATGTATAGAGTCTGTATATAGGGTGTGTCTCCTGTATATGGGCCTAAAGGGTCCGGTGTATACGGGGGGGGGGGGGGGTACAGTGCAGGAAATGTGTATTTGCCCCCCCCCTGATGCTGAATGTTCGCCCCTCACACAGAAAACGATCGGTCTAACAATGGAATGTTCGCCCCTCACACAGAAATGAAAACAATGGAATGTTCGCCCCTCACACAGAAATGATCGGTCTAACAATGGAATGTTCGCCCCTCACACAGAAATGATCGGTCTAACAATGGAATGGTCGCCCCTCACACAGAAACAATCGGTCTAACAATGGAATGTTCGCCCCTCACACAGAAATGATCGGTCTAACAATGGAATGTTCGCCCCTCACACAGAAACATGATCGGTCTAACAATGGAATGTTCGCCCCTCACACAGAAACGATCGGTCTAACAATGGAATGTTCGCCCCTGGTCTAAATGATCGGTCTAACAATGGAATGTTCGCCCCTCACACAGAAATGATCGGTCTAACAATGGAATGTTCGCCCCTCACACAGAAACGATCGGTCTAACAATGGAATGTTCGGTGTAACACTGAGAGACAGAATACAACAACAAATTCAGCAGAAATGCGTCTAACAAATGATGACTGATCTGCATGTTCATGAGGGAAAGAAGGATTGGATCCCCTTCACAAAACATGACTTAGTACTTGGTGGCCAATCCCTTGTTGGCCATCACAGAGGTCAGACGTTTCCTGGAGTTGGCCCCCAAGTTCGCACACATCTCAGGAGGGATTTTGGCCCACTCCTCTTGGCAGATCCTCTCCAAGTCATTAAGGTTTGGTGGCTGACGTTTGAAAATCTGTGGAGGGAGCTGAAAGTTCGAGTTGCCAATCAAATGAAGGTGTGGAGACTGGCTAGGCCACTCCAGGACCTTAATGTGCTTCTTCTTGAGCCGCTCCTTTGTTGCCTTGGCCGTGTGTTTTGGGTCATTGTCATGCTGGAACACCCACCCATCCACCACCCATTATCAATGCCCTGGCTGAGGGAAGAAGGTTCTCACCCAAGATTTGACGGTACTGTTGGATTTTAGACACGTATAATACTTCCTTTAGTGTCTTGAGGCGATTATGAATGAAAGAGCCGTTGAAATAAAAAAATGAAGTGTGATTTTATTCTATCACACAACGGCTTCAAATAACAATGTAAAGTGTATCATGAACAGTTCCATGAAAGATAAAACGTAGAAATATCAGGCAGAAGTTTAAAGAAAAGTCACCATTATTGTCATGGCTGGCTGACCGTGTGCACCTTCCATCTTCTCCTTGTGCACCTTCCATGTTCTCCTTGTGCACCTTCTTCATTCCACGTTCTCCTTGTGCACCTCCATCTTCTCCTTGTGCACCTTCCTCCTTGTCCATCTCTTCTCCTTGTGCACCTTCCATCTTCTCCTTGTTCTCCTTGTCCACCTCCCTTCTCCTTGTGCACCTTCTTTCTCCTTGTGCACCTTCCATCTTTCCTTGTCCACCTTCCATCTTCTCCTTGTCCACCTTCCATCTTCTCCTTGTCCACCTTCCATCTTCTCCTTGTCCACCTTCCATCTTCTCCTTGTGCACCTTCCATCTTCTCCTTGTCCACACTTCCATCTTGTCCTTGTCCACCTTCCATCTTCTCCTTGTCCACCTTCCATCTTCTCCTTGTGCACCTTCCATCTTCTCCTTGTCCACCTTCCATCTTCTCCTTGTGCACCTTCCATCTTCTCCTTGTGCACCTTCCATCTTCTCCTTGTCCTTCTCGAGACTTTGGGAAGAAACCAGAAATAGACGGAAGGGACGTGTCAAGGTCCTACCTTTCTTCAGAGCTTGTGCTGCTCCATGTGCTGGCATCCATCTTAGGTTTCTGCAAAGCATTGTGGGTTCCTTTATGCTTTCAAGCCTCTGCGGCTCCTCCCCCAGGAGGTGGTGGCTTATCACATTTAAGCCTGCTGTCTGCAGCTGCTCTTTGCATTCGTGTCCTGTCTGTTGAATTGCAGCAAGCTCCTGGTAATGTCTCAGTGCTCTCCTGGATATCGACTCTGTTTTGGCAAGACTCCTTCCTGGCTTCTGACCCCTCTAGCGATCATCCTTTCTGGCGACCTCAACTCGCTTCATAGCTTCTGACCCCGGCTTTGGCGACCATCCTTCCTGGCTTCTGACCCCGGCTCTGGCAACCATCCTTCCTGGCTTCTGACCCCGGCTCTGGCGATCATCCTTCCTGACTTCTGACCCCGGCTCTGGCGACCATCCTTCCTGGCTTCTGACCCCGGCTCTGGCGATCATCCTTCCTGGCTTCTGACCTCAACTCTGGCATCCTTCCTGGCTTCTGACCCCGGCTCTGGCGATCATCCTTCCTGGCTTCTGACCCCGGCTCTGGCGATCATCCTTCCTGGCTTCTGACCCCGGCTCTGGCGATCATCCTTCCTGGCTTCTGACCCCGGCTCTGGCGATCATCCTTCCTGGCTTCTGACCCCGGCTCTGGCGATCCTTCCTGGCTTCTGACCCCGGCTCTGGCGATCATCCTTCCTGGCTTCTGACCCCGGCTCTGGCGATCATCCTTCCTGGCTTCTGACCCCGGCTCTGGCGATCATCCTTCCTGGCTTCTGACCCCGGCTCTGGCGATCATCCTTCCTGGCTTCTGACCCCGGCTCTGGCGACATCCTTCCTGGCTTCTGACCCCGGCTCTGGCGATCATCCTTCCTGGCTTCTGACCTCAACTCTGGCGATCATCCTTCCTGGCTTCTGACCATCTGGCGACCTTCCTTCCTGGCTTCTGACCTCAACTCTGGCGACCTCCTGGTGACCCCGGCTCTGGCGATCATCCTTCCTGGCTTCTGACCTCACTCTGGGCGACATCCTTCCTGGCTTCTGACCCCCGGCTCTGGCGACCATCCTTCCTGGCTCCTGACCCCGGCTCTGGCGACCATCCTTCCTGGCTCCTGACCCCCGGCTCTGGTGACCATCCTTCCTGGCTTCTGACCCCGGCTCTGGCGACCATCCTTCCTGACTTCTGACCCCGGCTCTGGCGACCATTCTTCCTGGCTACTGTCCTACCCAGTCATCCGCTGTTGCTGTTGGACTTGCATAGACTGTGTCTCGTTTTTATATTAATAAACCTACCTTTAATTGCACCTCCTTGTGTGTCTGGCTCTCGCTCCCTGACACTATACGAATGCCATGAATCCTGACGGTGCAGGTACGCTCTCTCTCCCTATATTGGTTGCCAGACTTGATCAGCAGGATCACTTGTTGGATCAGTTCACTCAGGCGTTGCAGACGCTGCTTGCACGCACAGCGCACCTTACTCCTGGTGCTATTAGGCCGGTTGTCACTCCTGTGGTCGCTCCCTGCTGCTGCTCCTGTTGTTGTGCCTACTTCTGCATCTGCTGCCACACCTGTGGTGCCCAGAGGTATGACTGGTTCAGCCCCCCTTCCACAGCGCTTTGGGGTGAGCCGAGTTGGTGTCGGGGTTTCCTTAACCAAGTGGGCATATATTTTGAGTTGATACCCCACACTTTTCCTACTGAGAGGTCAAAGGTGGGCTTCGTAATCTCGCTGCTCTCGGACAAGGCCTTGGCCAATCCCTTATGGGAGAACGATAACCCTGTGATTCACGAGTTTGCCGGTTTTGTTGCCTTCTTCTGTACGGTATTCGATGTGCCTGCTCACTCCGCCTCTGCTGGGGCGGAGACTGGTGCAAGAGGGGAGGGAGGAGCTTCTCAAGGAGTTATAGGGTTGTGCATTGGGGTGGAGAGTGGTGAAAGAGGGGAGGGGGATCCCACACAGGCCAGGGTGAAAACAGACGTTTATAGTAGAGATTGTTGAAAAGTAGTGCCGTTCCCTCGTCTGAGGAGAAGAATTCCTTCCAGTAGATCCCAGTGACGGGGTGTCCTTCCTCTTTGTTTAGGGAGGAAGAATTGAAGTCTTCCAGGAGTCACATTTCATCCTCTGTTGGATAGAAGGTGGGACGTGTTCCTCCAGCAGGCTGGAATGCAAGGGTTGGATTTGGCTGTATTCAGTAGGAGGTGTAGGATGGTTTTTTTTTTTTTTTCTTTTCTTGAATGTAGGAGGATGAAGGCAGAATCGTCGTCAGGATGTCAGTGAATTTTTTTGCTTGTTCCCTAACATTGGTCTAGAAGGTTTTCTGACTGTACAGGAACAAACATATGTACGAGCTTGCCCTGGTGTTTCTGACATCTCCAACAAGTGTCTGCAATTTCAGGGTAACTTTTATGGAAGATATCTTGTGATCTCTACCGTCGGGATAGATGTTATAGTTCTCCTGGGCTTGGTGTTGATTGAAGACTTTCCGGAAAGATGTGGTATCTGGTGGTGGATTTGAGTAGAAGAGAAGTTTAGTTGCAAGTATTTTTCCCATTGGGATGGGAACAGAGCTTTAAAAGTTGTCTTTTGGGCTGTTCTACGAGATAATGGATGGTGGTGAGGGAGTGTCAAAGGGGGACGCCCTGTCCATCGCGCATGGCCAGTAAGGGGGACGCCCTGTCCATCGCGCATGGCCAGTGGGGGACCCCTGTCCAGTATGGCCAGTAAGGGGGACGCCCTGTCCATCGCGCATGGCCAGTAAGGGGGACGCCCTGTCCATCGCGCATGGCCAGTAAGGGGGACGCCCTGTCCATCGCGCATGGCCAGTAAGGGGGACGCCCTGTCCATCGCGCATGGCCAGTAAGGGGGACGCCCTGTCCATCGCGCATGGCCAGTAAGGGGGACGTCCATCGCGCATGGCCAGTAAGGGGGACGCCCTGTCCATCGCGCATGGCCAGTAAGGGGGACGCCCTGTCCACGCCCTGTCCATCGCGCATGGCCAGTAAGGGGGACGCCCTGTCCATCGCGCATGGCCAGTAAGGGGGACGCCCTGTCCATCGCGCATGGCCAGTAAGGGGGACGCCCTGTCCATCGCGCATGGCCAGTAAGGGGGACGCCCTGTCCATCGCGCATGGCCAGTAAGGGGGACGCCCTGTCCATCGCGCATGGCCAGTAAGGGGGACGCCATCGGCGCATGGCCAGTAAGGGGGACGCCCTGTCCATCGCGCATGGCCAGTAAGGGGGACGCCCTGTCCATCGCGCATGGTAAGGGGGACGCCCTGTCCATCGCGCATGGCCAGGGGACGCCCCTCCATCGCGACATGGCCAGTAAGGGGGACGCCCTGTCCATCGCGCATGGCCCGTAAGGGGGACGCCCTGTCCATCGCGCATGGCCCGTAAGGGGGACGCCCTGTCCATCGCGCATGGCCCGTAAGGGGGACGCCCTGTCCATCGCGCATGGCCCGTAAGGGGGACGCCCTGTCCATCGCGCATGGCCCGTAAGGGGGACGCCCTGTCCATCGCGCATGGCCCGTAAGGGGGACGCCCTGTCCATCGCGCATGGCCCGTAAGGGGGACGCCCTGTCCATCGCGCATGGCCCGTAAGGGGGACGCCCTGTCCATCGCGCATGGCCTGTAAGGGGGACGCCCCATCGCGCATAAGGGGGACGCCCTGTCCATCGCGCATGGCCTCTAAGGGGGACGCCCTGTCCATCGCGCATGGCCTCTAAGGGGGACAGCGGTCTACTAAACACTTTGAATTTTGGTGAAGATATGAGGTAGTGTTGAAGCTGTAGATCTTTCTAGAAGGAAGTTGGAAAGGGTGTGTTAGATTGGGGATAGAGGGACAGAGACCAGTGGAAGAAAAGTGTGAGATTTAGTACAGATCTTTTCTATGAGGAAAGAGTAAAGTCAGATTTCCGGAATGCCTGGGAGCATTGCTGTAGAGAAGGTCCTGTTGTAGGGTGGGATTTCAAGGTCAATGGTATAGATGGGGGACACTGTGATAAGTGGCGGAGGAGGAGTGGGAGGACTTCTCTATAGCCACCCAACATTTGAGCTCTGCGTGTCTCCACCAGTCAATTAATTGTGTCAGATGGCAAGATATTTGGTACCTCCAGTAGGTCTGTAAGAGCTTGTCCTCCATTGGCTTTGATAGAGAAGGTCTCGGCAGAGTCTAGGTTTCCTGGAAGCCCATATAAATTTGGCAAATTTTGCATTAGCTGGGTTGGGAAATGCGGTGGGTATCTTAATGGATAAGGCAGACAGGAGAGACAAGAATTTTGGTAAAATGGTCATTTTGGTGATGATTGTTTCCTTGGTTTTGAAGATCTATTTAGAGTCCCACTTCTGCAGTAAGGTTTTCACTATTTGAGGAGGAGGGGAGGACGAGAGAGAACCTCTCAACTGGATTCTCTGGTATGGAACGCCCTAAATATCTGAGAGCCAAAGAGGTCCATTTAAATTTGAAATTGAAAATTGTTTGGTTTTGATCTGTGAAGGAATTGCCACTCCCACTGTCTCAGATTTTGAAAATTGCTTTTTAGGAATGAAAGGGGTCCTTTATGTTTTTAGTTCATGTAGGAGGTTATGGAGAGAAGTGAGAGGAAGTTGTCAGGGAAAAGAGGAGGTTGTCTGGATGGGCCGAGGTCTTGGAGTAGATGTTTCCTACTTGCAGGCCAATAATATTCCGGCTGGGTCTTACTGTCCATAGGAACGGTTCCAGCGATGGTACACATAGAAGGGGAGAGAAGGCAGACCCCTCTTGTTGCAATGGATGATGTGAAATATGACAGATGAGATACCAGTAACCTTCGCTGAGACTGACAGGCGGAGTAAACTGTGGAGATCCAGGTCTGAGCTCTCTCCCAGATCTATGGGATAAAGTGTCCGTTCATTCCACCGAATGTCTTCTCCTCGTCCATAGATAGACATTGGGCTGAGGAAGAGGAACCCGCGTGTACCACATTCAGCATCTCATCACAGGTCTCCGCCTTCACCTGCTGGGAAAGCCCACTTGGTCAGGCAAAGTTCCTGTTCATCAATAATGGAATCTTCTACTCTTCCTACCAGTCCATCCCCCACAGTTATTACCTTTTGTACCACTAGCCCCTCCCTCCTAGATTGTAAGCTCCCAGGATCAGGCCCTCCCTTTTGTATTGTTGCTGTATTGTCTCCCGTTATATTGTAAAGTGCTGAGCAAACTGTTGGCGCCATAAATCCTGTATAATAATAATAATAATCTCCTTTGTACATCTTAACTTTTTCTCTGTCTAGGAGGATCGGCTCATTGGAGGAGTAAGAAGGGACAGCTGAGCCAGGAGCAGGTAGCCACCTTCCAGCCTGGGACACATGGGGTGAGTATACCAGTATGGATCGGATTATGGGACAGAAGTGGGATCACATGACCTGTAGAGGGACACATGGGGTAGGTATACCAGTGTGGGTGGGGGTGGGACTATGGGACAGGAGTGAAATCACATGACATGTAGAGGGACACATGGGGTGAGTATACCAGTATAGATGGGATCATGGGACAGGAGTGGGATCACATGACCAGTATGGAAGTCATGTGATCACCTCCAGGTTATCTAACATTGGATTCTCCATTTTTTCCTGAAGGTGAATAAAATGGCGGAGCCGCGAGGAAAAACGGCCCCGGTCACCCGGACGCGCTCCTTCTCTCTCACCCAGCAGGCTCGGGCAGCCGCCCCCAACAATCCGCTTATCCGGAAGGAGGCCACAACCCCCGGCGCAGTGGGCGTGGCTGCAGTCAGTGCCAGACTGGTGAGTAGAAGGATGGAGGAGAACGAAGGAGGCCGCCATTACTGAGCTCTGCTGGTGGAAATGTTGGAGAATTGTTGGTAATGAGTTGGCCGTTCCTGGGAGCAGCCTGGGCAGTATTCTGCAATGAGAGATTCCCTGCGCCGCTGGTGGAGATACAATGTCTGGCTTCAGGACCTAAAGAAGTCTGTAGATGAGACCGCACACATTGGGGGCCGGGCTGCCCCCCTCCTCCCTCGCCCCACCCCCCCCCTCCTCCTCTGACCCTTTGCTATCCTCCTCCTCCCCCCTCCCCCCTCCTCCCCCTCGAACCCTCCACCCCCCCTCCCTCCCCCCCCCCCTCCTCCTCTGACCGCTATCCTCCTCTCCCCCCCTCCCTCCCCTCCTCGCCCCTCCCCCTCCCTCGAACCCCCCACCCCCCTCCTCTCCCCCGCCGCCCCCTCCCCCCCCCCTCCTCTCCCCCTTCCTCCTCGACCCTCCCCTCCTCCTCCTCCACCCCTCCCCCCCTCCTCCTCCTCGCCCCCTCCCCCCTCCTCTCCCCTATCCTCCTCCTCCCCCTCCCTCTCTCGCCCCCTCCTCCTCCCCCCCCTCCCCCCCCCCCCTCCTCCTCTGACCGCTATCCTCCTCCTCCCCCTCTCTCGCCCCCTCCTCCCCCCCCCCCCCCCTCTCTTCTGCACTGCCCCCACCCGCCCTCCTCCTCCTCCCGCCCTCGCCCGCCCTGCTCCACCCACCTTCCTCCCTCGCCCTCCTCCTCCCACCTTCCTCCCTCGCCCTCCTCCTCCTCCACTGCCCTCGCCCACCCTCCTCCGCCCTTGCCCGCCCTCCTCCTCCACCCTCGCCCGCCCTCCACTGCCCTCGCCCGCTCTCCTCCTCTTATGCCCTCACCTGCCCTCCTCCTCCGCCCGCCCTCTTCCTCCGCTCTCGCCCGCCCTCTTCCTCCGCCCTCGCCCGCCCTCTCCTCCGCCCTCGCCCGCCCTCTTCCACCCTCTTCCTCCACCCTCTTCCTCCACTGCCGCGCGCCCTTGCCTGTCCTCCCCTACCCGCCCTCTTCCACCATCTTGGGTTCAGTAAGCTGGAATAAGTCCAAGTTCATCCCCCGCATTCAGCACTGCATATGACAGCCGGGAAACCAGCATTGCAGAATGAGAAGGAATGGCGGCCTCCGGCTCTCTCAGAAATGGTTTTCTTGAAAGCCACATAAAAGTCAAGCAGGTCAGAGGTTTGTGATTGGAGGAGGGGGAGCAGTGTGTGGGGTCAGTGATTGGAGGTAGGTGTGTGGGGGAGGATATGATGGAGCACAGTGTGAGATTGGTGGTTGTAGGTCGGTGTTCAGGGCAGTATATTGGGAGGTTGGTGATTTGTAGATAGGTGTAGGAGGGAGGTATACTTTGTGGTAGGTGTGTGGGGGAGGGATGTGATGAGGTGGGTGTGTGGGGGAGGGATCTGGTTGGGTAGGTAAGTGGGGAAGTATACCTTGAGGTGGGTGTGCATAGTGGGTTATGGCAAGGGTAGGTGTGTGAAGGAGGGATAAGTTGAGGTGGGTGTGCAGGGGAGGGATACCTTGAGGTAGGTGTGCATAGTGAGATATGGTGAGGTGGGTGTGCGGGGGAGGAACAAGTTGAGATGGATGTGCGGGGGAGGTATACCTTGAGGTAGGTGTGTGGGGGAGGTATACTTTGAGGAAGGTGTGCATAGTGGGATATGGCAAGGTAGGTGTGCGAGGGGAGGGATGTGGTGAGGTGGGTGTGCGGGGGAAGGACAAATTGAGGTGGGTGTGCGGGTGAGGTATGCCTTGAGGTAGGTGTCCAGGGCAGGACACGTTGGGGGTAGGTGTGCGGGGCAGGGATGTGGTGTGAGGTGGGTATGCGGAGGAGGGATACGTTGAGGTAGGTGTGCATAGTGGGATATGGCAAGGTAGGTGTGCGGGGGAGGGATGTGGTGAGGTGGGTGTGCGGGGGAGGGACAAGTTGAGGTTGGTGTGCGGGGGAGGGACAAGTTGAGGTGGGTGTGCGGGGGAGGTATGCCTTGAGGTAGGTGTCCAGGGTAGGACACGTCGGGGGAGGTGCACCTTCAGGTAGGTGTCCAGGGTAAGAGACACTTCGGGGGAGGTGCACCTTGAGGTAGGTGTCCAGGGTAGGACACTTCGGGGGAGGTGCACCTTGAGGTAGGTGTCCAGGGTAGGACACTTCGGGGGAGGTGCACCTTGAGGTAGGTGTCCAGGGCAGGACATGGTGACCAGACTCCGTTCTCCTCCACAGAACCCGCGCACACCGGCCCCCCAGACCCGCGAGGTTCGCTCGGCTCAGAAGTTCAGCCGGAAGATGTTCCAGGGGACGGCCAATGTTGGGGCGGCGGGTGACCCCAAGGCGTCCCTCCAGAGCTACTCCCAGGCCTACGGGACAATCAGTAAATCGGCTCTGCAGAGTCTACAGGCGGACAAGTCATGAGGGACACAAGCTGTGAGATTCTGAGCTGCTAGGGACCCTCCTCTGGGGCCCGAGTATTCCAAGTGTGGGGTCCGGGGGCCAGACCAGCCCGCTGTTCAGACCACATATGTGCCTTCTACAATGCCTGACCCGGGACCAGCCAACCGGCAATAAAAAAAAAAGTGCAATAAGGCAAATTCTGGACTTTGTGGGCCCCGGAGCCACCAGGGGCCCTTCCTCTAATTTTTTTTTTTCTCTTTTTTTTACTGTTCACTCCGCCCACAATACAGACTATTTATTCAGAGTTTTGTGTCGGCTTATTATTGACTCCATAATAAGAGGGTGCCGCCTCTTCTCCAACATGGCTGCCAGTGGCCCCGCCCTGTCAGCGGTGAGAATACATGGATGATTGAGAGCCCCTGGAAGGAGATTCTGCTCACTTCCTGATCCAGTGACACCATTTGTGCAAAGTCAGGACAGGAAGTGAAGGGAGATCTTCCCCCGGCTGGCAGTTCTCCCCTCCCCCCTCCATCATTGCAATATTAGGCGACAAATCAGAGCAGACCGATGAGGACCATATATGGGCGGGGGAGGGGTGGGGGGTCCATCCAATCCTGAGATTTACACAGCTAGGTCACTTCTCCTCCCCCCCCCAACTTGTGATTGAACAGTGAAGTGGGAGGAGCAGAATGATGAGGACAGATTCCTGCTCTCTCCTGTTAGCACGTGAGTGCGGGACACCCGATTGGCCCCAAGTCTGACTCCTCCCTCTCCCAATCTGTTGGCTGCTGTTCTGGGGACTTGAAGCGGCTAAAAGTGGCAGCATCTCCTGACCCCCCCCCCCCCCCCCCCTCTTGGCAGGCTATGCTCCTCCCCTGCACTCCCTCCCTTTTTCCCGCTATTGTATCATGTGACCTCACCATATGAGATGGCTGAGGACTGTCACTGGGGGTAGTGATGTCATCACTCAGCGCACTCTGACACCGCCTGACCCTGACCCAGGGTGAACCGCGAGAATCCTGGGGGGAATATAACGTGCTCTGAGGGGTCTCTCCATGGGAAATCCTCTTATGACGTCTATTGAGGGGCCCAAAAACCCTTCCCCTTGGGGGCTATAGGACCGCCTGCAGAAGGTCTGGACACCCCTCCTCCTCCCAGCATGCCTCAGTTATGTGACGCTATCGGGAGAAGGACCATACACATGGACAAGTGACCCTCGATGGCCTCCAGGAAATACAAATCGTAGCGGACACAGGCCCAGGTTATATGATTGGACACAAAACCCCTGCCCCGCCCCCACTGTGTCACTGGATCCTGCAGGGGGCGCTCAGCTCACTACTTTGTGTAATGAGTTCAGTCAGCTGCAGGGGGGCGATACAGCTCCACCTTTTATTGCTGTCACAAGGAATGTAAACCTCCCGTGACAGCAGAATGAAGGTGACAGGTCCTCTTTATGGAAGGACCTAGAAGACCCCAACTGCTTTCTCTGCATTTAAAACACCGAGATTGGCGGTTTGACACAGCGTTTGTAGGGACGTCCTATATAACCCCTCCCACTCTCCCAGCATGCCTCACTTTTTGGGGGGTTGGTGTGGTTTCTGTATTCGCTCAGTCTGTGTGTCTGTCTTCCTCTGAGGCCTTTGCCCCCTCTGGGGCCTCCTTTGCCCCCTCTGGCACACCTTCCTCCTCCTGCTTGTACAGAGAGGAGTTCTCAGCCACCATGTCTGAGTGTATGGGAACCATCTTGGCTCCCCCCCAGATTTCTCCCTGGAGTCTGCTTAGACTTTGATCTCACAGTTGCTTTCCATGCGCCCCTATGGATCACCTGGACCTTCTCTCCCAGGGGGTCCCCCATCCTGCTTCTAGAGTTTAATGGGATGTTTATTGAAGCCCAGGTCCTGAGGGATGGATTCTCTCATCCTTATGCTTCTGACGTCTAGAAAGTTCCATCCTGGGAAGCACTCCATGACACAAATACTGACCACCTCAGTCTGGACTGGACCAGCACTTGGCATTAAGCACCTACAAGGGGCAAACCGCGGCAGTTCTGTTCTAAAGGCGGCAAGTTGCTCACTCCTCATGTCAGGCCTTTTTGCAGGGGGTTAGTCACGTCGCTGGGATATTGGCCAGCCTCCTTTACAAGGTGGCCTCTCCTAGCCGTACACAGGGACAATGTTGTTCTGAGCCCCCCCACAGGGATAATGTTGTTCTGAGCCCCCCCTTTCTTTTCTCTCCATTGTTATAATGTAGTTCATGGTGTTGGAGTCTGCCAATAGGACCCAAGGCTGAGAGGTCATCGTATTCTCCTGTGTACTTCCCAAAGGTTCTTGGGGGGGGGGGGGGGGGGCTGTGACCTTGCTTGGTGGGGGGTCCCTGTCCTGCTGTGACCTTGCTTGGTGGGGGGTCCCTGTCCTGCTGTGACCTTGCTTGGTGGGTTTGACATTACTTTTATAAATGATTGATATAGCGCCAAGAGTTTGTGCAGCAGTTCAAGTGGAGACAGTACAGATACAAGAAAAAACACGAGGGTTAGGAGGGCCCTGCTCATAAGAGCTTACAATCTAATAGGGTGGGGCATGTGGTAGACATTCGAGAATATGGTCTGATGGAAAGGTTTCCTCCCTTCACTGTTCAGGAACATTCTACCAGGTCTGTTAGATGCCCACTGCTGAAAAGTCCATGATGCCTCCGCTCCAGAAGGCTGCCACGTGGACTTCTGCTTGGTATAGCGGGTGGCTGGTCTGGCCTCTTCTGATGCCGGTTCTGGTATAAGAAGCTTCAAGCGGCTCTGAATTCTAGTCCTTCCTTTGCCTTGTTCGGTGGGCCTGTTAGCATTTGTTTGCTGCATTACCCCTCCGTTGGACTGCTTTGGAGGTCCCGTTGTCAAGACGTGTCCTATACGATGCGATGAAGAATGCAGGACTTTTGTTTTCTTGGAGTTTAGTACGAGAACCTACTGGTCCTTGATCTCATTCCCCTACAGATCAGCTCTGTGTGTACAGGTAAGTCAAGAAATTCTATTATCTCTGATGAGTCCAAAGGGTGGTTTTTGAAGTGGCAAAAGAACTAAGTTCAGATCCCACAGAGTCACATGGAAGCCTCCAGAGCAAAGGTCTTAATGAAAGACGAGAAGGCAAATGTCTCTGGACCAAGACAGGACGATGTTTAGGCCTCACAAAGCTCCGTTGTACAGGCGTCTGGCCTTTTTGTCAGTTTATAGAAGCACCTCAATGTCAGCGATGTGTCCATGCACACAGTGGGGGAGGGGGATTTACTAAAGGCACACAGACTGAGCACTCTGCAATGTGCAGTTGCTCCACCGCTTGGTAAGTGAAGTGAAGCTTCACTTTACAACGAATACTCAATCACATGCAATACAATAGAACAAAGTGCATTTTTGCTTGCACGTGATTGGATGATGGCAGTCAGAAGAGCTTCACCTCAGTTACTAAGCTCTGGAGCACCTGCACTTGCAGAGTGCACCGTCTATTTGCCTTTATTAGATCCACCCCAGTTTGTTAGAGGCTGAAACACCTCCAGGAGTTTCTCCTTCCTCCCCTCCCCCCCCCCCTCAGCTCTAGACTCGGCCAATTCAGGACATTCACAGCTGGAATGTACAGTAAATGGTGGTCAAAGCAAGAAAGTGATGTCCTGCCCAGGACAGGATCCACTCTACTTTTGCTGCAGCAAGATTTCTGGTTCCTGTGTGATAGTAAATGTGCCACAGCTGTGGTGTTCTGTGACTGAATCCGGGTTGGATGACTCTTCAGTTGGGTGGTTCAGGGCTGTAGGGCAACCAGAGCTCCAGGATGAGGTTCAGGTGATGAGTCTTGCTGACATTCAGGTTCCCTGCACCAGGAGTGTGGTCAGGACTCCTCCACAGCCCAACAGGCTGGCATCTGTCATGAGGATCTTCCGAACAAAAGAGAATGTTCTGAAGTGGAATTGAACAACTAGGACTTTGTTGAGGTTCCAGTAGCCCCGGGATTCAGGCATACATGCAGTCAAATGACATAAAAATAGTGCAGCGCTAAAAGTAGTGACGACAGATATAAGTCCACTGAAAGTCTTGGTCATATCTGTCCAGAGGACAAATGAGGATTCAGAATTGGTGATCCGTGTGGAAACGGCTGAAAAAACGCACTCACCAGAAGTAAGACATAAACGCAGTGTGCATCTAGAGCTCATGGATCCTTCACAATCCAGAGGGGAGTAAAGCTGGTCCGGTTACAGGAATGGTGACCTCTGTGGATGCAGCACAGATCTCCTTCTCTCGATTAGGTGTAGGATTCCAAGATCAAGATTCTTCCAAGCAAAAGAAACAGGAAAACAGATACAAAAGACCATTTTTGGCCGAATGGTCTTTTGTATCCTGTTTCCTTTTCTTTTTGCTTGCAGAATCTTGATCTTGGAATCCTACACCTAATCGAGAGAAGGAGGATCTGTTGCTGCCCCACAGAGGAACGGGATCCACCATTCCTGTAACCAGACCTGCTTTACTCCCCTCTGATTGAGGATCCATGAGCTCTAGATGCACACTGCCGTTTATGTGTCTTACTTCGGTGAGTGCGTTTTTCAGCGGTTTCCACACGGTTCACCAATTCTGAATCCTCATTTGTCACTGGACACGTCCATATGACCAAGACTTTCAGTGGACTTATATCTGTCTTATTGTCACTACTTTTAGCGCTGCACTATTTTTATGTTATTTCATTTAAGTTTATAGTGGTTGCTTAGAGTGCTTAGCCGCTTTCAGGATTAGCGCTCACTGCTGTTTTTTTCTATGCAGTCAAATGACTCCAGGACTACAGAATACAATTCTCCGAGTGGACAATTTGAATTTCTCCTGAGGATGCAAAATTTTCAGCTTGGATTGTCTACAAATAGACTCAGCTACTCTAATCCATGAGACAATTCCTGTTCTGATTTTTGGAGGTCCAGGATCTACCCATGTGGACAGTAAAGGCTATGTTGTGCCCCAGAACGTGTGACAATTGTTCCCTCCGTGAGAGGTCCTCAAG